TTTCTCATTTACCATTTCACATATTCCATTCCTTCTCACATATATCAATCTCATATTCCATATTCAAAGAGCAATTTCTTTGTCCTTACATATCCGATTCCACATTTCCACCATCATTTCTCGACATTACAAATATTCTCAATTCAAACTCACATAACACTTTTCAAAATTACAAATACAATTACAAATACATTTATCAAAATCACAAACACAATTCAAATATACACAATTTTCAGTTATTTAAACATCATTCTTTTACTTATTTTAAAATTTCATTTCGCGATACCGTTTTATTGTCAGTATCATCAACAACAAAAAGGATCCCCTCTACATGTGGATACTCAAACAGATAACAGACTCTCACCCTCCGAATGGCGATGAATACCAGATAACAGATAACAGACCCCCATTTCCTAGAGGGTTATTGGTACCAAATAACAGATCACAAATAATAGATAACAAACCCTCATTCCCCAAAGGGCTATGGGTACTAGATAAAAGATACCCAACCACGATGTCTGGTATGGACTTCCCAGTCACGTCTGATTGAAACCGTATCTACTATAGGGTTCACCAAAGATCTCTACTCATACATCCTCCCTCTTCTAATACTTGTTAAACGGATTTTCTCGTCTTTTAAAAGATTCTTTTGTTTTATTTTTGTTTTGATTCCTTTGTACCTGATTCCTTATTCTAATGCATATTTACATATATACCCAAAATGCTAACATATTCCACATATAACTCGTATACATAATGCTCACATTTACATACACCATTTAAATACATGCATGTTCAAACATTAAATAACATACATACATATTCCCACATACATACAGTTACATACTTTATTCGCATATACATTTTACACATAATTTGTACGTGTATACACATCCTTCACATCACATATACATACACACACAGCAATGTACATATAATCTATACCTATGCATATTACATATAAAATCATACATACAAACCACACGTAATATTTATTTTCATACAGATTTGCAAATGCATATATATACATATACACAAATTATCTTTTACAATTAAATACATATAATCACACACATAGAAATAAATACTCATACATGCACATACACACAGAGTGACATATATCCATACAATTCCGCATGTGATTAAACATACCAGCATCAATATACAAATCGCAGAAAACCATTCACGTACAGTCCACATACATATGCTGAATTTTTCAGAAAATACACCAAAACATAATTTTTAAGTAATCTATCAATTTTAAATAATTATTTTAAAATCAATAAACCATTTTATAAAATCATGAAATCTCCGAATGAAAACTAACCTAATTCTCACCGTTTTACTGGCCTGAAACAGATTCCATAAATTGATCAATCCTTGCGAATTTCGGTTCCTAAACTGGGTCCTCAAACCTCTGTAGAAAATCCCAATCCTGTTAGTGTTAGGACCCAACGTTGCTTGATTTTACATTTTTCCTTCTAAAATCCAGCCACTATTGGTCTAATTTCACCCATTCATTTGTTGCCAATTTAATTCTCCCCTAAGATGACTTCCTAAACTTTCTTAGAACTTGCCTACAACATTTCTTTGTTTAATTTCTATCTCTTATAATGATGATTATTATTATTATTTTATTTTTTCTAAATTACCTATTTGTCAAAATCCGGTTTATTTTCAGTTTTACATACAATCCGTATAAACCTAAACCTAAAGTATCTACCTACTGAAGATTGAAGTTTCAGCTTGACAGAGAGCATGATAAACCACGGAAATCAGAGCTGCAACCTGTACCCAAACCCAGATATGCGAGATAGGAGACATCTAGCCAAGAACCAACTGTCCTCCAGCAACCGTCCTCCAAGCAGTTGCAGAGCAGTTTCCCATGACCTCTAAGCAGTTCCTCTAAGAGTTATTTTCCTTTTCTAAACCGTCTGTCGTGCCTGGATCATGCTCCCTGATTAGCAGGAAGCAGTTACGTTGTTTTCTCCATTTAAACATGTACGAGATGATCCAATGTATGTTGAATCTACTAATCAAATTTGTGGTTCTTTCTCACCCTGAAAGAAAACGTCTTCTTGAGTTTCTGTTCTTAGTGGTATCGTAACAGAGCAAGGATTAATTTCCTAATTTTCATATCATGCTGAAAACACCAAAACAGTGAGAATATTTAGGATTTCCTAATTTCCTAAACGATCTTAGAACTATTTTAAGTCATTCAACCTAGTTTGTCGTGCTAGAAGATGATTAAACCAACGAAAACCAAGAGGGAAACTTAGAAATTCACGTAACAGAATGACTGTAAATTTCTGACGCGTTCATGGAAACCTAACTCGCACTGATTCGAGGACATCCATAGGGTCGACAAAAGGAAACGATTTATGAACGTACAGGCGTATAACCATTAAATTTACATATAAATAAAAATGAGCAAACAAAAGATCTAGAGTCAGGAGACGCTCCGTACCCCGTTCTCGAACCCGAAAATCGCGACTCGCCGCAGCAGGTGGTCAGAGATTCGATAAGGCTCCCAGTTTGCCCCCGATTTTCCACTCACTCTCAGTTTCCTCAAAACTACGCCTCCCTTTCCCGCGATTCTTCCTTCTTTTCCTATCTCTGAGCTTCGGCATCCGCGACGCTTTCCTCTTCCAGCTGCTCTCCCTCTCTATCTCTCTCTAGGTCGCCGCTCTCCTCCTTCTCCACTCGAGCTTCCTCTCTTCACTTTGTACTAACCTCACCCTAAACCCTTGTTGTGTTGCAGGTGAGAAGAAGAAAAGAAAAGCCGTTCGTGCAAGGCCTGAGGCCGAGCCGACGAGCTTGGGTCTTTACAAGTAATTATCAATTATGCGCGAAAGACTCCCAGTCCCTTCCGAATACTCGCAAGTTTTCCTCTGTAGGGTTTAGGGTTTCAAACAGCCTGGTCCGTCTCGGGTTAGACTGTAGAATGGCAGTTGAGAAAAGAAATAAAATAAAATTGATAATCCATTAATTTTTTTATTTATGATGAAAATTAAAAGGATAATTTTATTAATTTATTTTATATCGCATTATCAGCCATGTTATAATTGGATCTTACTTTCTAATTTAGTTCTAAACTTTTAAAAAAATATATTTTTAATTTTTTAAAAATATAATTTTTTTTCTAACGCCCAAAAATATGAATTATAAAATGCAAAAAGAATTATTAAATATTTAATTATAATTTAAATTTAAAAATAACTGTCACCATAATTTTTTCTTTTTTTAATTTTATCTTATAATTTATATAGGTTAATTGAAATAAAGTAATTATTTTTATCAAAATTATTGAGGTTAATTTACAAATTCTTTTAACTTTTAAACCTCGTAACTAAAAAAAAAAAAATACACAAGCACGATCATAATATTTTCTAATTGTTTAAATACTTTTACAAGTTATTAAAATAATAATATTATAAAAATAATTTAATAAATTGAAAGCATATATTATTATTAAAAAAATAGATTTAATTGTAATATGGTTTATTTTTATCTTAGATTAAAAATTTCAAAATTATTAAATAAAAATAATAGAAGTAAAAAGTAAGGAATTGATAAGAGAGAGATAAGTAAAATGGTTAGGTGTTACTTCCAAATTATGATAGGTTTATCGAATTTGGTTAAAAACATATCCATCAACTATATATTTAGCCATTGGTTATGTATATATATATATGTATAAACACATACATATATATATATAATTGAATTGAAAGTTTAGCATTAGAATGTAAAAAAGATTATATGCAATTAAGTTAGCAGTTTAAGGTTGGTGTCATATAAAATCTAATATATTGTGTTTTCTTTTAACACCACAACATGTGAGATTTTTCATATGTTTACCTAAGATACCAAAGAAGTTATAAAATTTTAAATTAGTATAGTTTAAAACTAAATTTATACTTCAAAAAAGTATATATATTTAATGACTTTAAAGTATTATTATAGAAAAAATATATAAAAAATACTACGTATGCATATAAAGTTGAGTTAGAAGTTTAACATTAAAATGTTGCAAATGATCTAAATTGACCTTTATATTCATCAATATGCGAGATTGTTCATGACTTTGTAAGCTTAAATACTTCTGGGTGACCGATAGTAAAATAGTATTGTGAGAGAATAGTGAAAAAAAAACTTCATTGGAGAGTGGAATAGAACATAAAATCGTAAGTTCCCAAGCAGTGAAAAGAATTCAAGGCTTTGATCGCGTGCCTGTTGAAGAGATGAAATAAAACTAATGCATATGTTAGGTAAACATATGATAGACTTTTTTTTTTTAATTTTAAATATCATGTAGTGTTAATCTTGAAAACTATTCTGATAATTATTTTAATATATTATTCACTAAATTTATGTTACAATTTTCATATTTTTATTATTTTTATTTTACTTTTTAAAATTAAAGCATTTTAGATTATAATATCAAATTTTTTGTTTTGTTATTTTTATAGTATTATTGATATATATTGCTACCAATAACACTTTTAAACTATGATTTATGCATTAATTTTTTTTCCTCTAATAATTAATTTGGTCTTAACCTACACGAATTTAAAATTTTAATGGTCTAAGGGTATATTATTAATAATTATTGTAAATAATAACCATAATAACATAAAATATATGTAAGCACACAAAGACAAAGCAAAATTCAACATGGGCTCTTTATCTTATCTACCTTAACAACCATTTATGAATATGGACAAAGTACATTCATTGTATAAGATAATAAATAAATTTTGTCACATTCCACGTGGCATAATGTATGACATCTAAACGGCAACAAATTACAACGTCAGTACATAATAAGTAAATTTAATAATCACACATTAAACTTAAGTATATCTGGAAGCAGCTTCATACACGCATTTGTATAAATATACAACTTAAGGCTTTAATGAGTCTAAAAGTACAACAACATTAAGTGTCCCAAAATAATTTCTCCTCATACTTCAGCTTTTAGCCTCACAAAATATTTTTTCTATCTTACTTACTAATCTTGTCCCTAATTTTTGCACATCTGAAAAGGGATAGAAATTGAAGTGAGATTCTACTATCTTAGTAAGTAATATACCCTAAGTGGCTAGCAATTTAAAGCATTACTTAAAGCAAAATTAAATATGCATAACTTAACTCTTGAATTTTCCTAAGTTTATGCCCAACAAATTAAATTAAATATTTAAATACAATAAAAACATGAACAATTATAAAAGCAATCATAGGTAACACTTAATCTTTAAAAAATCATCAACGATAATTAAATTACCATTTAAATTATCTTTTCCTTGTAAATCAATTTTTTTCACACATTCACCGTTGCTTAGAGGATACACAAACCTCAACTATATGAATAGGTACATAAACCATAACCATGATAGGTATACAACCCATGGATACACAAATCGTAACCATAATAGACACACACAAACCTCATTAGTACATAAACCCAACTCATGAATGGTACAAATGAACTCATATAGACACACAAACCCATATCATGCTAGGTATAACTAACTCCGTGAATTTTAACAAACCCTAAACATATCTTAGATGAATAATTCACTCTAGCAATGTAACACTCGGGCCCGAAAATTAGCTCGGGATAAATTTTACGAATTATAAATATATACAATAATTTAAAAAAAATATTTTATTTTAATTTGATTGAATTTTTGAGAAAAAAAACGAATTAGGAACAAAATTAAAAATAATTTTGAGAAGAATGAGTGAAAATTTGAGTTCAATGAGTATTTTAAAAAAAAAATTGAAAATATGATCAAAGTACAAATAGAGAAAGTTCAGCCACATAAGACTGCCCAATCAGCAGCCTCAATGAATAGGAGTGCGCCGCGTGACCAGACACACTAATGTTGGTGCTGCGCGGGAGGTCATGCTCGCGATTCACGTGCCCTGCGATCAGACAGCTTATGATCGATCCTGCTCGCGTGGACGGTCCGGATCAGTTTCTCCCTTAGGCATGATTGAATGGTTGAGATCAAACGCGATGAACGATCCAGATTCATTTCTCCTTTAGGTGCAATTGAATGGTCGAGATCAAATAAGATGAATAGTCCATATTCGTTTTCTCCTTAGACGCGATCGGATGAACGAGATCAATCGTGATGGACGGTCCAAATTAACGCAAGATGGGTATAAATATTTCACATTACACAGAACTTGAACCATAACCGCCAGCCCCCCTGTTGGAGAAGAAAAACCAGACGCTGGAGAAGGAAGCAGACCGCTGACCGCCGCTGCACCAGAGCCATCTCTGACCACCAAAAATACCATCCCTCGATACCCTGTCCGGTATGAGGTGATGTTTATGGTAGAATTTTCTATGTACCCGATGCGCCCACCATCTCCTAGAATATCTAATAAGACAACCATTTATTAATTCACATCATCAAGTAATTTTTCATTTGTATATTAATTTCACGTTTCACAATCAACCATAAATCATGAAAAATAAGTGATATATGTATTAAGAAAACATAACTGAATTATTTAACTATCTCAATATATTATCATATATTTAAAGCTGTGCAAAAAATAATCAATTAAACAGAACAAATAAATAACTAATTGATTTCGGCTCCATTAGTGACCTGTAATTTTTTCCAAAATTTTTTAAATTTTATAGAATACAATATTATTGATTTCTAAGCTTCAATTCCATAACAAGAAATAGGGTGAGAGATTCTTATCTTAATCGGTGTCTAAAATACTGTACTTTTTACTATGCCTCCTGGCGATCCCTAGATTTTTTGAATTTTCTTATGGAGATTAAACACGCTTCACGTACTTAAAAAATACCCCAAAAATCCAAAATCGGTGTTAAAAATCCACTCTAACCAATTTCAAGATTCTGGCACAGCAGCACCCTATGCTCCAACGATAGCACTGCCGCCCGCAATGGTGGTTTGCCTTGACTTAGGTCGATTTCGGCCAAATTTACACATATTCCTGTGAAAAAAAATCGTTAGGGAATCTCGATTGGCTGAAAAATTTAGAAAACCAAAACTACCGGTGGTGGGATTTCCGGGTATGGGGTTTTTTTTGTGCGGCTAGGATTCTTCTTTCGGTCAATCTGCAGAAAACATAAGGGTGAACACAATGGTGAAAAAATCACACAAAACAGAAATCGGAAAGGGACTCATCGGAGGAGGTTGCAGGTTTTGGGCCTCCGCGGCCCTGTCGAGCTTTTACCCACAATTTTTAGCTCACTCACAATTCATTTTGCTCTAATATGGTTACATGGGTGCTCAGAATCAAATTTCGAGTGAGTAGGATAATTTTTACCTTTTTTAGTAGTCGGATGTGGCTCCGGTGCAGCGGTGGTCGAGAGTTAGCTTCCTTCTCCAGCATCTGGTTCTTCTTCTCTGGTGGGGGGGTTGGAGACTAGGGTTTGAGTTTTGTGTGATGTGAAATATTTATATCAATCTCACGTTAATTTGTACTGTCCATCACGATCGATCTCATCTGTCTGATCGAGCCTAAGGAGGAAACGAATCTGCATTATTCATCATGTTTGATCTCGACCGTTCGATCGTTCCTAAAGAAGAAACGAATCTAAACTGTTCATGGCATTTGATCTTGATCGTTCGATCGCACTTAAGGGGAAAATGGATCTAGACCATCCACGGGCGCGGGATCGATCCTTGGTCATTCGATTGAAAGGCACGCGAATCGCCAGTGTGACCTCCCGCATGACGTCGATGTCAACGCGCCTGGCCACGCAACACACTCCGATTCCTCGAGACTGATAATCGACCAGTCCTATGTGGCCAAACTTTCTTTATTTGTACTTTAACCCCCTGTTTTTAATTTTTCTTCCAAAAACACTCTCGAACTCAAATTTTCACCCATTCTTCCCAAAATTATTTTCAATTTTATCCCTAATTCATTTTTTATCAAAAATTCA